ATGTCAGGTGCACTGGGCAATGAATTAATCCTTTTAAGTAAGTTAAAATGACTGAGGTTGCAGGAAGATATATATGAGTAGGGCTTTCTTGATTTGTTTGAGGGAGGCTGAAAGAGTTTCTTTCTCTGCGTCACCATCGAGTTTGGAAATAGTTCAAAGATTTGACTCAGGTCATTTGGAGGCTGTCATATAACAGGCCAGGAAATGTTAATGTTTTAAAACTCCTGGTCCCCTTAGGTTACTAAGGTCCCCTGGGGCTCCTCATGGGCCCAGCTGGAAATGGGTTTTAGCTGCTTGTTGGGTTGTTGCTTGTTCATCTCTGAAGCCTGTGCTTCTCTTAGAGCTGCATCTTTTTTCTTTCTTTTTCTTCTTCTTTTTTTAAATGTATTTGGTTGTTGCAGGGTCTTGTAGTGATCCTCCTGCTTTCAGCCTCCCCAGCACTGGGATTACAGGCGTGCTCCACTATGCCTGGACTCTGGCCTGCTCAGCCCACCCTGGGCACAGGGCTGGTGAGGCATGTGGTGCTAGGGATTGAACTGCGGTCCCTGCACTTGCCTAGGCTTGTCTAAGCAGGCTCTTTAGTCTGCTGAGCTATCTCACTGGCCCTAGAGCTGCATCTTTTTCTGAGTTGGAAAGGATTCAAAAGGAGAACCACATTCCTTGATGAGAAGTCTGTTTGGGTCTTCTGAAAACTTGCTTGGTCTGTCTTGATTTCTCCCAGGTTTCGCAGGGGAATGCAACCTGGGAGCATTCAGGTTGAGGTTCTTCTGGTCATGCTTCTCACTTGGAGGGACTGGATAAGTATCCTTGTCTCTATCTTTGCACTGTGGGCCCTGGATAGGGAGAAGGAAGACTTTAGGAAGTTCTTTGGTTGTGGTGGTGGTAAGAATGGAGGCTCTTGGGCTGGCGAGATGGCTCAGTGGTCTAAAGCACCTACTTGGAACAAGCTTGGCAAAGCACAAGGACCACGGTTCAATCCCCCAGCACCACATGCCAGCCAGCCCCGCCCCCTGGTGGGCTGAGCTGGCCACACACACACACACACACACACACACACACACAAATAAATAAATGTTTAAAAAAAAAAAAGAATGGAGGCTCTTCATAACATTGTTTATTTGAGACAAGGCCTTGCTTTCTAGTCCAGGCTGTTCCTGAACGTGATCACTATGTATCCCAGGCTGGCCTTGAACTCCGTGAAGATCCTCTTGCCTCAGCCTCTCGTGTGTGTACTATTATTAGCTAACTCTGGAGATTTTTCTTGGGGGGAGAGAGGATCCTCTGGAGCCAAGCTGGTAAGGGCTGCCTGCAGGGCTGAGTCTGCCACATGACTTGTCTGTCACAGTGAAACCTTGCATGTAGGGCACTTTGGACCATTTACCCTGCTTTTTGCAAAGTAGGTCAAATTGGAGGATTGTATTTTAATTGTTACTCTCTTCTGTTGGGCATTTTCTTCAAGATCTGAGGGTCAAATGTGGAGGTAACCCAGAAGTTCTGAGAGTGTTACCCATTTGTAAGAGAGACAGGGATAAAGAGTGCTCCCTTTACATCCTCTCTCACTCTTCTCCTTCACTTCTGTCAGCTCACAGCAACAGGAGAGGGAACCCCACATTGGGGGTGATCAGCATTAGTTGTGGTACATGTCAAGCTCTCAGTTTGGGAGGCTGTACCCTCCCCATGGTTCACCTGATCCTTGTGATGGATGACTAGGTCTGATAGCAGGCATTTTGAGGGCATCTCAGGAGGCACAAAAGACCCTAAAGAGGGTACCCCTCACACCAGCCACCAGTAAGGAGGGTCATTGTCAAGAGGAGCAGGAGTTTTTCTCAGGAATTGATGAATATGGTCCATATCACAGTGGAGCCCCCCCCCCCTTTTTGTATTTTAGGGAATGGTCTATAGGGTGTTCGGGGTCTCACTACTAGATGGGGCTCGTAGTGATCTGTTTGTTTACAGCTTCTCAAGAGCTGGGATTACAGGTGTGCACCACCATGCCCAGTCTCAGTTCCCATCTCAGCGCACCCTGGGGGCTGGGCAGGCACAGCAGGCCTGGGAATCAACCCCCCCGGCCCCTGCCCCTGTTTACAGGCTCTTTAATCTGCTGAGCTATTTGGCCTGCCCGGTGGAGCCCATATTGATCTCTTCCATGACCTGACTGAAGCTGATAAGGCAGACCCAGCCATGATTTGGTTGAAGAGAAAACTGTGTTCAAGACAGGGTCTGAAGTTGGCTCCCTGTGAACACCAGAAAAGGTACTAGACCAGAGCCTAACCCATTTTGGGTGTGTTGTAATAGGCCTGAGGCCTGAGGAGCCCTCCTACAGCCTTATCCTTGATTGACATGTCCCTTCCCCAGGATTCATGGCACTGTTTGCCAAGTATTAGCCTCCTGAATGTGGGAGCAGGGCCCTGGGCACCAGGAACACCTAGAATGTGTACCAGGACTCTGCTCCTGGTACATTATTATTATTATTATTATTATTATTATTATTTTATTTTTTTTTTGCCTAACCAGGGATTGAACTCAGGCCCTTGCGCTTGCCAGGGAAGTGCTTATTCCACTGAGCCATCTCCCCAGTCCTATTATTATTATTATTATTATTATTTTTATTTTTGCAGAACCCGGGATTGAACTCAGGCCCTTGTGCTTGCCAGGGTCCTGGCACATTAAATCTGTCAAGACATCTGGAAAAGAGAGGGTCACCCATTCTAGCAGAATGAGTTGTGGTTCAACCCTTGGTGGAGGCTTCCAAGAGGGCTCTGACAGAGGGCTCTCAGGTCACCTGGAAAGGGGATATTTAGAGAGCACAGAGTAGAGGGAGCTACCCGCTTGGGCCCCCCTCCTGTCCTTCTCTTGGACAAGAGCTTTCTTTCCCTCAATAAATATATTCTGCTCATTAAAATAAAAAAATAGCACAGAGCAAGTGTACCTGTCACCCCATTGAGGAGTACAGGCTGGACCTGCTAGGCATGTACAGGTGTCTGCTGGACACCTGGTCAGGCTGCTAGGACCCTGCTTCCACCAGAGGGCCTGCGAGCACCTGCATCTGGACATCAGCCTCTAGGGCTCCAGCTCCCTGCTGGGCCAGCATTTCCACCAGATTACTGGGGAGCTTGTCCCATTTGAGAGCTGCTACTACCCTAGTCACTTTTATTTGGTTGATGGGATACCCACAGTTTCAGATTATATAAAGGATAGAGAAGAAATGTGAGGTCCAGTCATCCTGCCACACTTTAACTCTTCCTAGGGAAGTGCCCCTATTGGGTGCCGGCAATGTAACCAATTCTGTGGTTCCTGCACATGCTGTCCCAGTGTACCAGTGTAGTTTATTAGAGCAAAGATAGCCAAGAGGGCCTGCAAGGGAGAATACTGTTGAGGCTCTTAAGTCCACCTATGTAGTGGCTGCTTTTGGCTAGGCCTCTGACATCAGGAGAGCAGGCTGGCCTAGCATTCCTGCTTCTCAGAGTTTCAGTTTATTCAGGCCCTGTCCTAACTGCCTGTTTTTCTGTCTCCACTCTTAGCAGCTTCAGAATGTTTCCCTCTGCTACTGTGGGAAACCACTAAAGGATACACCTGTGTACAGTTCTTTTGTCTTTTCATTGTCACATACTGTTTTCCAATCATGGGACTAATTCTCTCCCATACTGTTAGCATTTGTTTTCTTTTCTTTTTTCTTTTTTTTTTGGTAGAACCAGGGATTGATCTGAGGCCCATGCACTTACCAGGGAAGTGCTTATTCCACTGAGCCATCTCCCTGGACCCCTCTGTTAGCATTTGTGAGAGTCAGGCTCAGGGGGCCAGGGAGATGGCTCAGTGGAATTAATGCTTCCCTGGCAAGGGCAAGGTCCTGAGTTCAATCCCCGAGTCAGGCTCATTAGTTTGTGTTCCATCTGAGTTGCATTTTTTTGTTTTACTTGATGTTTGCTTTGTTTTGTTTGAGGTAGGGTATCACTATGTAGTCCAGGCTAACCTTAAACTCTTTGTCTTCCATGCTGGCCTTAAATTAGAGATTCTCTTGCTTCCGCCTGCCACATGCTGGAGTTGCAAGTGTGAACCACCACACCTGGCAACTTCTTTCTTATGTGTGAATCAAATACATTTCTTTCTTTTTTTTTAAATTTTTTATTCATTTTATTTTATTTTGCCGTAATTTTATTGATAAACAAATAACAATGAGACAGTTTCAAATCAAATCGGTAGGACAGTTTCAATAATTAACACACTGCATACATTCTTCTTAGTGGTTAATTGCTGTACAAGATGTGGACTTGATATCCTATTTACAAACACCATTAGAACAAATCATTCTATTCATTAAGAGAATGTAACTATATATCTATCCTAACCACTTTGAATACACAGATACAAAATGGACATTCATCTGTATACCCTTTTTTTGTTCCGTTATTTGAATATTATAGGTGTGTAAACTCAGCAAAATATTCTAAAACAGTCCAGTAGCCCATAATAGTATTGGGTCTTCTGCTTAACTGGCAATATCAGAAATTGTTGACCTGAGTCCCCGACAGCTCAACATAACAGCATGGGTTTATTTCTCATATTTCGTTTTTATACTTTTCTTCTGGATGGTTAAGACCAAGGTAAAGCAGGACCTATGCAACAAGAGTTAGATGAATAGACTTGTCCTTCACAGCTTAATAGTTGCAGCTGACCTTTATGGTTGGTGTCGAGCCTAGTGCTGCAGTCTTTACATTATTTAATTCTCATAACCTAAGAGTATAGCTATTATTATGTCCATTTTGTAGGTGAGGAAACCAAGACTTTGAGTTTCAGTAATACTCAGGGTTACAGTGATGCAGCTCTAAGCTGGCTTGGTTGTGAGAACAAAGCCTCCCTCACACCAGAACCCCAGCTGAAAAGGTAGGGAGGACACAGGTCATGTGAAAAGAGGGGTCCCATGGTACCTGAGAGCACATGCCAAGCACAGGTGCCACCTGTGTGACCACCCAGCTGATCTGTCTCTGGTGTCTTGTCTCCAGGCGCTGTGACAATGGAGGCCATGTTAGCGCGACTAAAACACCTGAATCCAGATGACCTTAGAGAAGAGATTGTCAGAGCTGGCCTGAAGTGTGGGCCCATCACAGCAACCACCCGGTTTGTGTTTGAGAAGAAGTTGGCTCAGGCTTTGCTGGAGCAGGGCGGGGCGCTGCCTTCCTCCCTCCCCACCCAAGCTGGCCTGCACATACCCAGCACACTGACCTCTGCTTCAGGCAGCCCTGCTATGCAGGGCAATTACTCTGAAGACAGAGATTTTGGTTACAATGTGGGCTTGAACCCCCCAGAGGAGGAGGAGGAGGCTGTGATGTCTGAGGCCTGCCCAGTGCCTCTTAGTGCTTCAACCAGGGTCACCTCCAGTAAGGCTGGAGAGACAGTTGCCAAGGAACCAGCCCTGTACTATGGCGTGTGCCCGGTGTATGAAGATGGCCCTGTGAGAAACGGTAATGTGTCATCCTGTGTGTGTCTTCCCACAAGTGGGGTGAACACTGAAAGCTGTGGAGAAAAAAGCATGGGATGGGGGGCACGATTTAGCTCAGTAGCATAGCTCCAGCCCAGCAAGTGTAAGGTCCTGAGTTTGATTTCTGGTAATCCCACCAAATAAAATAAAATTATAATATAATATAATTATGCAATACAATACCAATATACAGATTTTACCACGAGTTTTTAAATCCAGATTAACTCCTTTTTTTTTTTGTGGAACCAGGGATTGAACTCAGGCCCTTACAGTTGCACTTATTCCACTGAGCCATCTCCCCGGCCCCCACAGATTAACTACTTTTGAGCTGGGTGTAGCACAGGCCTATGATCCCAGCACTGGGAAACTGAGGCAGAAGGATCAAACTTTTGAGTGCTTGGCCCTTTGGTGTCTATTTTTATCTAACTTGTGGACAGGTGTGAGAAGTAAATGTATCTTTGGCGCCTAGGGCTTATTCTTTAGTATGAGTTTTTTTGTTTTGTTTTTGCACTGGGGATTGAACTGAGGACCTTGACCTTAATGTTGCTGAGCTATCTCCCAGCCCCAGTAGGAGTTTTGATATATATAAGAAAGAACACTACTGCCAGGTGCAGTAGGGCCAGCCTGTGATTCTGGGACTCCTGAGGCTGAGGTGGGAGAAATGAAGCTTGGATTATAGTGAGACTCTGCCTCAGAAAGCAAAGCAAAACCAAACTATCGTGATAACCTAATGCAGACTAAAGTGATAGACAGTATTAATAGCTATTAAGTTTGGTTCCAGAGACTAAAGAGTTAATTATAAAGCACAGGGCTGGTGAGATGGCTCAGTGGTCTAAAGCACCTACTTAGAACAAACTTAGCAAAGCACAGAGACCGCGGTTCAATCCCCCAGCCCCACATGCCAGCCAGCCCCGCCCCCTGGTGGGCTGAGCTGGCCACACACACACACACACACACACAAATAAAATTTTTTTAAAAAATTATGAAGCACAGACTGAGTACTGCCCCCCACCCCCAAAAAATGTTTGCACCCAGCCCAAACAACCTACTGACTCAACAGGTTGCTTCTGAAATTTAAAAAATGAAAAGTGCTGAGGGTGGAGCTTGTGTGCTTGTAGGCACACACACACGCGTGGGCACACACACAAATTTGCAATGGGCTGCCCTCCTGCATTTTCTGTAAATCTGTGAGGAACTTTAAAATTTCCTGTGCTCTGAAAAGTTTGCCCCCCACACAAATACTGACTGGCTGACTGCCATTTGTTTGAGACTTGGAGTAGCCCTCCCTTTTGGTTCATTATAGGCTGAACACCAGGGGTTGATGAATGTAATAGTCTGAACATACAACTTTCAATATCAAGAATAGGATTTTTTTTTTGCTGTACAGGGGATTGAACTCAGGACCCTGTGCTTGCCAGGCAAGCACTTATTTTACTAAGCTATCTTCCCGGGCCTAGGAATAGGAATTTTATTTTATTTTTTTGCGGAACTGGGGATCGAACTCAGGCTCTTGCGCTTGCCAGGGAAGTGCTTATTCCACTGAGCCATCTCCCCGTCCCCTAGCCTTGGGCTTATGGCAGTCTTCCTGTTTCAGCCTCCCAAGTACTGGGATTAATCTCATGCACTACCACATCTATTCAAGGCGTAGTAAAATTTATTTTAAATCCAAATCCAACTTTTGTAGTTCATGTTTGCAGTACGTAACGGTTAAATTTATTGTGAAGAATTGGTATATGTAATAACACATTTCAGCACCCCTTATTTTTTCCAGCATAAGGTTTATTTATTTTATAAGTTAAATTATCATAAAAACAGACTAACAGGCCAAAACACATAAAACCCACCTGAGACTATTTTACTAAATCAAGACATATTTTTAGATATATTGACTATGCTGGATTACAGTAACTTATTTTTCCCCTCTTTTTCTTCCTATTGTTTGTCTTTTATTTGTACTTCATATATAGGGTTTCATTTATTTATTTATTTATTTATTCATTTTGAGAGAGTTAAGAGAGCCCAAGCAGACATTGAACTTGAGGCTGACCTCCTGCCTCAGTGCTGGGATTACAGGCATGAGCCATCACACTTGCCTTATATTGAGTTTCTTATATAAGAGAGGCCAGGCAGTATTTAAGCTTGTGTACCTGATTTACTTAACACTGTGGCCTCAAGGTGCCTGTTTTTGTACCCTTTTTTATAGCGGAGTTTCACTTGTATATACAGTAGAGGCTGCTTCCAGCTGAATATACAGCAGATGAGCTGCTGTGAGCGGCACTGCTCACAGCAGATGGGTGTGCATGAGTCACTGTGATGTGGTGTCTTTAACTCTTCTTGGAAGGTAACAGGGAGCTACAGCTGGGTCCACCTATATTTTTTAATTTACTGAAGTGTACATATAAATATACAGGTGCACTTTTGTATTTTTATAGAAACAGGACATAGAAGTACAAGCTCAAAAGGAGTGCATTAGTAAAGCTTAGAAAGCTCCTCCTCCAGCCTGCATCCTGTTCTGCCCAGGAAGGGAAAAGCAGCCGCGTTAGGACAGCCACACTGTGTGCTACTGTATTTCCCGTGGTGTCCGCAGGAACTCACTATATGATTTCAGGCTGCTTGTTTCTTGTTTGTTTGTTTCTTTTTTTTTTTTTTTTTTTTTTTTTTTTTTTAATGGAACCGGGGATTGAACTCAGGTCCTTGCACTTGCCAGGCAAGTACTTATTCTACTGAGCCATCTTGGCCCCCTATTTGTATATACTGAAAGTGTCTTATGGCTTTATTCATCAGCATCCTTTTATGAATGTGTCTAGACATGCTTGGAAAGGCACATTCCACCCAAAATTATGCTTAAAATTCTTCACCAATGATTTCAAAAGGTTTTAAACTTAACATTTTTTTTAAGATAAGATACCTTACAACTGTGGGACAGATGTGTGCTCCTGCTATGAACCAGCCCTAAAGACCTAAAGGCCAAACAAATGCTAAAAGAGTAACACCTGGGATTGATATTCTAAATAGGTATGCATCACCTGGAAGGACCCAAGTGCGTCACTAGCCCAACCCCCAGTGGGAAGAGACCCTTTCCCGTATTCCAGCCCCCAACAGGAAGAAACCCTGTCCCGTATTCATGCCTGCTTACTCCGTGACTCGCTTCCCCATTTGGTCCTGGATCTAATCAATTTTACCTGAGCAATGGTGCTTGTAATCCCATTGGTAGACCATAACTTTGTCCCACCCCACATCCACCTAAGCGAGTTCCCATTCTCTCCACCTTAGCCCCACATAGTTTTACACTATAAAAGTCCCTGGAAGATACAGCTTCCTAGGGAACAACCTGCTTGGGGGGGAGGGGGGGGCTCCTGTCCCTTCTCTCGGACAGGAGCTTTCTTTCCCCTCAATAAATATATTCTGCCCGTGAAAAAAAAACTTAGATTTTTTTATTTTATGAAATTAAATCCAAATTTTATTTAAAGATTTCAAATTACATATTTTGAATTTCTACAGTGGAATAGAACCATCTTAGAATTAAGAAATGGCATAAATGAACACTGACGTCCCTTGAAACTCAAATTTTATAAAGAAAACAATTCACGCTGCAGACTACATCCCCGTTATGTAACAAGATTAGCAATAGCTGTTTCCTAAGGGAATGGGAAAAAAAGACTTTGATATTCTTTAATTAAAAATGGGATTCTATATATTAAAAATTCAAAGATCAGAAAAGGCTATATTTAGACCCATTATACTCCCCCATCAAAAAATAAGCCACAGAATGTCTAATCAAAATCTTTCTCAAAAAGGATAAAAGTACTGTGATTGGCTAAGGATTTCCAGTAGTTAAGAGTCTCATTGAGTTCAATCCCCGGTTCTGAAAAAAAGGTCTCAAGAAGTATGGCTAGTTCCAAACAAATATGGTCATATTTTAAATCTTTAATGCAGAATTTTCTGTTTTGGTGTATTTTTTGGTGGAACCGGGAATTGAGCTCTCATCCTTGCGTTTGCCAGTCAAGCACTTATGCTACTGAGCCATCTCCCCGGCCCCTATGCTAAATTTTCAAAAAGAAAACTTATCACCTTTAACCTGTAAAAATGTGTCAACTCAGTGTAATTTTACTAACAGCAAAAATTCTAGACTTTCTTCTTGAATTAGGCTACCCTCCCCTCACTATCAAAAACATTAATTTAGGGCTGGAGAGATGGCTCAGTGGTCTAAAGCACCTACTTAGAACAAGCTTGGCAAGGCATCAGGGACCGCGGTTCGATCCCCCAGCACCACATGCC